TAATTGTATTGTAAATTTTAAACGCCACGACATTTTTTGGTGCCCAGGGCGAGGGAGACTAAAAAAAGACGTTTAAAGACCCAAATTTGAGAAAGATTTTTTTATTCTTTCCTTGTCACTTGGGGTAGAGCAATGGCCTCCGCTGCTGATGCAACACTGGTATTAACTGAGAAGTGAACAACTAGACAGTCGAAACAAACTCAAAATGTGATAGCAGCATCAGCCATTGCAAATATTGTAAGATCTTTATTAGGACCGATTGACTTGGATAAGATGCTTGTTGATGATGTTGGGGGTGTTATTTTCACTAACAATGGGACGACAATCTTGAAACAGATGAAAGTACAGCACCCTGCGACCAAAGTCCTCGTTGAATTAGGTCAATTACATGATGAAGAGGTTGGGACAACTACTGTGGTTATTACTGTTGCTGAGTTGCTGAAGGCAGCTGATGAGTTAGTAAAGCATAAATTGCATCCAACTACTGTGATCAATGGGTATCGTCTTGCTTGTAAAGAAGCCGTTCGATACATGCAGGAGAACCTTGCCCTGAATAGTGATGAGATTGGTCGCGATTCTATAACTCGTGCGGCTCAAACGTCGATGTCATCAAAAATTGTTAGACCAGACCCTGATTTTTTCGCTAAAATGATTGTCGAAGCTGCTACGCTGGTTAAAACTGTTGATGCTTAAGGACGTGCCATGTATCCGATCAAAGCAGTCAACGTTTTGAAGGCACGTGGTAAATCTGTTCGTGAAAGACAGCTGATTAAGGGTTACGCGTTAAATTGTACTGTTGCAAGCCAAGCTATGCCCTTCCTAATTAAGAACGCTAAGATTGCCTGTCTTGACTTTTCGCTGCAAAAAGTTAAAATGCATCTTGGTATCTTCATCGTAGTGGAAGATCCTGAAAAGCTGAAAGCTATTTGGCGGCAGGAAAGTGAGATTACTAAAGAAAGAATTGCCAAAATACTTAAGTCTGGTGCCAACGTGATTTTAACGACTGGAGGCATTGACGACTTCTGTTTAAAGCAGTTTGTTGAAGCAGGTGCTATGGCGTTCGACGTTGCAAAAAAGTTGATCTAAAAAAATTGCTAAAACTACTGAAGCAACACTAACAACGTCGGTGACTACACTAAAGGGAGAGGAAGGATTTAATGTCGCACTGTTCAAATTTGCTGAAGAAGTCGTTCAGGAAAGAATTTCAGACAATGAACTGATTTTAATTGAGGGAAAAAAGCGCGAACTTCATTTTCCATTATTTTGCGTGGTGCAAACGACATCAAGCTTAAAGAGTCTCAGCTTCCTTTTCTACTTTTCATTTGGCATCATTTTGTAAACTACTTTGGTATTAGTATTTTGTTCCTTCTTGCTATCTATTGGATCCTTGTACATATAAATTCAACTCTTTCCTTTTATGTTGTATTTCATCTCATTTCAGATCATCTGTCAATAAAGTTTAGAATTGCAGTCGTTAGCCAGACCCATCAAAGTACTCACATATAAATTAAAGTGCCGTGATCCACTCAGCTCTGAAACTGAAGAACCGCTTAGGAAATTTTAAACGTCACGACATTTTTTGATGCCCAGGGTAAGGGATGGCAAAAATCATTAAAATCTGGTTAACAAGATTCTCAAATAGACTTAGAGGATTTGAAAGAGTGCTATGACGTGTTGGAAAGGGAAAGAAAAGTCAGTAAAGAGGAGTTCAGCTCCAAGCTACAAATACTGAAGGATCAAATTGAAGGAAGACTCTCCAAACTGGATGCAAAGAAACAAAAATATAAGGAATTGATTCAGGAGTTACAAAGGGAAGAAAAAAGGCGAGCAGAGGAGAAATACGAGCAGTATGCCAATAAAGAAAACAATTATTTAAGTGTTATTATCAACGCTACAGTTGCTTTTGTCAGAATAAAGAGAGAGCTCCTAATCGAGGAGACGTCAGCTGGAAAGCAGGATAAAGAACGAGTACGAAATTCGTCAGAAAGTATCAAGCTTCCCTGGATTATGCTGCCCATGTATGAAAGAAACTCTCTCAAGTGAGGAGGTTTTTGGGACGCCTTCGGAGCCGCAGTTGATCAACAGGATTTGTCTCAGGAGCAAAAACTTAGTTACTTAAGGGGTTGTCTGAAGGGAGACGCCCTCGAAGCCACTGCAGGCCTACGTGTGGTCGACAGGAACTACGAGGAATCTAAGGCGATCTTAAAGAACAGATATGAGAATCCAACAATTATTAAAAGATCGTTATATGCCCAATTAAAAGCTATTCCCAAATCAAATGGTACACTCCGGAGTTGAGAAAAACGTTTGTCAAAATCGACAATTCACAATTCGCGAGAAATCAGAAGAAGTGATTTGAAAAAGACAAAACAGAATAAGAGACAAAACAGTCGTTAGCCAGACCCATCAAAGTACTCACATATAAATTAAAGTGCCGTGATCTATTGAGCTCTGAAACTGAAGAACCGCTTAGAAAATTTTTAACGTCACGACAGAGGTGTTGACTAGAGGCCAACTTCTACTCTCATAAGTAAAACTTTATTGCACAACATACATTTCTTGAGTGCATCAATCTGCATGTATTAGCATTCATATTTCTATTCCGTTATCCTTTTGGTTTCTGCCGACTTTTCACTGTATCATTGTAACTGTAGCACCTTCACTTTCACAATCATAAAAAAACAATAGAAAGGACAACTTTTGTAAGCTTTTTTCAACGCAAAGATGAGTAACATAAACGAATGCGTAAGCAGCATTTTGCAAATTTGCAATCAAACAAACTTACTTGTGTTCTTTTCTATCATTATTAAAACAATTATGTAGCTTAATCTGAGACTGACGTGGAAATTGCATAAAAACATACTGTTTTGCTACAGCAGAGCCTTGTTCAATCCTTATCTTTTTTCGAATGTTTTTCAGTTTTGGGATAATCCCAAGAATTTTTTGTTTTTGTAATTTCAAGGTAGAGTTGAATTTGTGAACCAAAAACGTCTATACCGTACCACTAATTAGATGTCAAATCTGATTACATATCAACAGCGGCATCAGAATGACGTGAATCAGAACAAGCTAGAAAACGGTTGACTTCATCAAAAATATTTTTAACGTCCTGCATATCTTAACAATTGGGTTTCAATAACTTTTCAGCAAATAACCATTATTTTTATTAAACAATTTTTCAGTCCGGTTAAAAATCAATATTTGGTTAGTGACCAGTGTTAGAAATCAAAAACAGTTTCCTACAATATTTACAGTAAAAACTGCTTTCTGTTCATTCTATTCACCAGATTCGACTATTTTGTTACCACCGTCCAAAGTATTTTAGTTTATTTCGTGTAAAAGTTTAATTATCTCATAGCACAACAGACAGAATCTGCACAGGAGCTATGGCTGCAGAAAACGATCAATTTTAACTGCGATTAACACAGAGAACCAGGCTGACAAATAATCGTTTTTTACCATCATCATACGATAAACGTTACTGATTCTTAAATTAGCAACCGAAGGAATAACTCAATTTATACGTCATCTTTACTGTTTTTTTCTTAAACAAAGATTGAAGTCTTATAACATTAAAAAAAAAGTTCTTTACTCTGCAGTAAATATGATTAGTTATTCTTCAACAGTTTTTTGGTGGTAAATTAATAACTCAAAAATTTGTAATAAAAAAAGGTTAAATTTCATTGGTCTGTACGATCTCTAAAATCATTTACACATCATACTATCTCTTCTTTTTGTCATAAAAATGTTCAGGGTTCAGAATAGCTGCAAAATGCCAGCGAGAAGTTGACAGTTTTAGACAGGAAGTCTAAGGCTACATGTAAGTGACCGTAAACAAATTAATCAGTCAGGGTTTATGATGTTGCGCTTAATGAACACAAAAAATGTAAACAACTAAAGACTGTTTGTCAAGAATATCATCAAATAGACTCCTCAAAACCAGAAAAAAATCATTTCGTTGTTGCTGTTGGCAGTTCTGCAACACCATAACTCTATTCATAACTAATAAGCTAGCTGTTATACGTCATAAAGGTTACTTTTGCATGTATGCTATTATTTTTACATTTACAAAAAAAGGTCAAGGTTTGAGTACAGCAAAAAAAGTTTTTTTTTGGAGCTAACATTTAGTCGACTCAAAACGTCCCGTTATGTAACGGAAGTTAATAAATTCTTTATTGAACTATGCAAGTAGAAGAAATTATAAAAATTTTATCTTATCCAAATGTTTAAACCTAGAAAAAAAAAAAAAAAATTTGTCTGTATTGGTTGCGATAAAAAGAAATGATGTCATTAAAACGTAACAGATAATTTTATTTGTTTAGTTTCTATCAAAAAAACGAAAATTAGATGAGGAAAGCGGATGATGAAGACCTCATAAACGGCTAATGCACCTTCTTTTGAACTTCTTTACAGCGCTTACATATTTAGGCTCATAGTCTACAAGATGCATTCTGCTATTGAACCATTAAATTACAAATCTTGCAAAAATTTAAAGCATTATAGAGATTAAAAATTTCTGTTGAATCTTTTTTTTTCCAAGATTAATGTGAAAATTTACTCCTTAATACAGTAAGTCTTTACTTTATTTCGGGAAGAACTAATCCGATTGGACAGTTTATTACCAAAAGGTAGGGTCAAAAGCACGTAGCTCTACCTATAAATTCATGTCTTTTTCTTTTTCTATCATAGTGCAAAAAGAAAAAAATTGCTAGAAAAGTTCAACTAAAGCTTAAAATAAAACGCAAAGTTGCTGCTGGTTTAACCTTAAAGTGGGTGAGCTGCAAAAAAATCAAGTTTTGTACAGAGTGGTGAATAAGCCAACGGCAAATGATACTGTTTCAGAACTTCTGGAGTCTGATACTTATACAGCTTCAAGGGCTAGGCTAACAAAACACGCTCCACTCAATAAACTTCCGGTCGAACTGCATAACAGCACGGTGACTTTGCGTATAATGGGCTCAAGAACAGGTCTCTAGATGCCAGTGCTTAGTTTCGTTCTACTGGAGAGCTGCCAAAAGAAATTTTGGACCAAAAAGCAGAAAAGCACTTATAAAAAATTGCTTTGCCACTTGGCACTCATCTTGCTTTTTAATTTAATGTAAGTGGATGAACCAAAATATCACTGTTACAATAAAGT